CCCCCTTGCTGTTTGGCAATTCAACCTTGGGGATCTGCCAGTCGATCCTTGGGTTGACTGCTCTCAGCCACTGCATAGAGAACACAAGATCAAAGGGTAGGTCAGGGAAGATGTAGAAGTTCAGACTATGTCTGACTTCCCCAACACTGTCGAAGGTAACAGGGATACCCCTGACCGTCTCCCTGATGGTCAGAACAGTGGAGTCCCCTATGCGGACCTGCAACGGTTGCTGTAGCTGCACCACTTTCATGCCCAGGTGCAGTTTTTGGACTGCACTGGGAGACATGAAGTTGCGAGTGGCTCCACAATCTAATAGCCCCTTGATCCTGCGATGGTTGATCAGGGGCCGAAGCAGGATGAGATCAGACTTGTTCTGCTTTTGTTCCTTCAAATAAAAGAAAAAAGCAGCCAAGGCCTGACACTCAGACTGGTCCGGTTCCTGATCCGGGTCAGGATCCTCATATGTAAAGGATGCTGCCCGCGCAGCTCCCACACTGGATGGGAAGGAAGAAGTCTCAACTGAAGCTGCTGCAGCTGCAGATGCAGTTGCAGCACTGGAGGGAACTGCTGTCTCCAGGTTCAGCTTCAGTTTTTTGACTGAGTTGGGCTTGGCATGTAGGGACAGTCCTTCAGGAAGTGCTGTCCCTCACACCTCAAGCAGACACCTCTCTCCTTCCTCCTTCTCCACACTCCCTCCTGGATTTTTAGATCATGCCATGGGAGAGTGTTGGGGTTCAGAGGGTCTGYTGGGAAGTGGACGTCACGTGGCAGATTAGGGCGCCGGGCAGGGGTTGAAGAGCGACGTCCCTGGCTCTTCCCCTTGCTGCTGGAGGTTGTGCTGGAGGCAGATCCGGCCTTTTGGAAGGCCCCCAGCGCAGCCTGCAGCTGCTGGACAACAGCTGCAACATCTGGAACAACAGCTGAAACAGTCCCAGCTGGCGGTGTACTAGGCTGGGAGCCGGTGTCAGAGGCTGACCCAGATCCCGCATATGCAAAGGCCGCCTTTCCCTTTCTACCACCGCGAGGGAAGGCGCCTCTCCTCCTATAACTGGAGGGAGCCTGGACATGAAGCTTAGCTTCCGTGTCCAATGTTGCGCGTCCAAATGCTCTCCTGTCTTTGTGACCGGCGCAGTACAATGCAACACAAAACTTTTCAGGCACAGCCCTACAAAAGTTAGTCAGCAAATCATCAGCAGACATAACCATTCCAGGGGTGGAAGTCAGCTGCTCGAATTCCGCGAACAGCGCCTGCAGACTGCCGCTGTACCGCTGCTGACCCAGGCGTACGATCCGGTCAGCAGCCTTGCGGGCTCTTTCCTTGTCTGCAAAGCGATCTTCCAGGGCCTGCAAAAGCTGGTCAGCCCCCAGTGCCAGGGCCCAATCCTCCAAAGTCTGGTTATGGGCAYTTGCTGTAGAGGTAGCCCATTTCTGGGCAGGCCCCTCCAGCAGCCCCACAACAGTAGCCACCTTTTGCTGCTCGGGGCACTGGAACCCCTTCAGGTAGGCCCGGGTTCCAGCGGTCCAGTCCCCCACATCAATCTTGGGGTCATCCCCCTTGAATTTCCTGGGGGCAGGAATCTTGGGACCTCTGGGGTCCCCAGCAACAACAGCAGCAAAGGTGGGAGGAGGTGTGGCTTTGGCCTGGGAGGAGACAGAGGGAGAAGTCTTGCGAGAAGAATGAGGAGACTTCGGAGGTGGAGAAGGAGGTGGAGAGGGAGGCTGAGAAGACTTTTGGGGCTTTTGAGAGGGGACCACAGGGACCAGGGGACTGATGAGATTGGCTGCTGTTAACTGAGCAGTCAGATTCTAGATAGCATCCTGGATCTTTGACTGTTGAGTTCCCAGATCAGCCACTCTGGTCTCCAGTCTCTGGATCCTCTCATTCCAGTTTGTAAAATGACTGGCTGTGAGCTTGTCCTGCAGGAGGACCAGCTCAGCCAGATCCCTTGTACACTGGGCCACTCTGGCATCTGCAACAGTCTTCTGAGCCTGCTGCAGCAGATGCTCTTTTCTGGAAGCATCTGTTGCAGCTTCCAGTTCAGCAGCCTCTTGTCTCTCARCCTCTGCGAGCAGCGCCTGTTGCTCTCGCAGTTTCTCTTGGATTTCTCTCTTGCGCCGCTGCGCAGGGGTCAGGGGAGGGGGAGGAGGAGTTGAGGATGAGGGTTCAGTCTCATCCTTGACCACTACCTCAACCTCCCCTGCAGCTGTGTCAGCGGTTTCAGACATTTTCCCTCACTGAACAATACAATAAACAAATATGAAACAGCAAGGGGTGCAGCGATTTACAGATCCCACAGACACTCAAATTTCGCTGCACTGTCAATTCACAAAGTAATGTGGGTTAGTGGGCACAAGCAGTTAGGGTTGGAATAAGACCACTGGGGTCAGTTGTCAGGTTGACTGAAGGTCCAGTAAAATCATGCACTTACGATTTCCTATACCTGACAGTGCACTTTGACTTGAAGTTGCAACAGCACTTTCACAGTATTCCAGGGGTCACTGGGATTCCAGAGCCCATCAGAAAGCAGAACAGACTAGTAGTATTGATGGGGATAGGCAAGAATCAACTGAAACACAGCAACAGGTAGTAGCGATTTAGTAAACTACTCCCTGGCAGCCCCAAACTCAATTTTCGCCACTATTGACATCAACAGAAATTACCCCAGATATGGCGAATTTCAGGAATGCACTGTAATGACCCAAATACAATGTTTCTTGACTAGCGCTTTAGCAGGGATGCTAAAAATAGAATTGCGATTCAACCCAGACTGACAGACTTGAATTCTGACAGTCAGATTTTGAGTTGTGACTGACCCTAAGTAGCCTAGACTATAAATAGACCCAACGCAAAACTCAAATCCACAGTATCACTGTCTTTTCAGTACAGAATTCACAGAATGAACATACAGGATGCAGCGCAATACTGTCTGGCAGTCCCAGAACAATTTTGAGTCAGAACAGGTCAATAGATGGAGAGATATGAGTCAGGGTAGGGAGGAAGAAGGTGGATATGGTTGTCTTGCAGTTTGACAATTTCACGATTGTTACTCTACTGACAAACAGACCATCACTGCTASTTCTACTGATACTAATCTAATCGCTACTMAGGGATTCATATGGAACAGACTCACTTGAAGTATTTCCCTTGTGGATGATGAAGCTTTGGCTATGGCTGCCAAACCCTGGTCTTGCCAGTTCTTGCAGACAGTCTTCCAGAGCTTCCCACGTACAGAATCTCCTGAAACTTGTTGATCTGCTCCAGTATGATGTGGCGATTCACCCGACCCTTAGATTCAATGAATCTGGCTCAGTGGCGAGAGAATACTCTCCTGAAGGTATCTCGCCACTGCAAGGTAGAAGCCGCTRATGCTAAATTTAGCCCTGGGTAGGGTTAATTTAGCCGGAGGTGATTCTGCGACCAATCCTCCCTCAGCGTTGTACTGGGATTGAAGCCGCCACCCAATAATCACTGGATTAGGGTATAATTCGCCACCCTAGACCCGGTCATCAACTGAGGTCAGGGGGGTGGATGGCRAAATAACCCTATTCTCACCACTTCCTCTCAGGCACTCAGACAGGCTCAGGGTGCCTGATCAATCGCCAACTGATGCTCCTGCATTCACCGCTTGTATGCCTTCTTCCCTGCTGGATGCTCACTGGAGATGAAGAACCACCATGGAACTTCTCGCCAATTAGGGCCAGATGAAGAAGGTGCCCCTGTTACGCTCAACGCTCTGAGCTCCAATTCCGAACTCCTCTCCGATACCAACTGTTATGAACTTGGTTGTCTGACACTTTGATTGCCACTCACCCTCAGAAGAACTCACACACGCCCATACATGCATGAGACAAAGGGGAGGAAGAG